ACAATAATTCTGACATTTGAATTAACATCCCCTTTGCTGTTTTGTCACTGGATGATTCATCGTAAAGCAACATAGGTTGTTTCAAAAAGTGTAACATCCTTATTAGTGTTAAAAGGCCAATACACTACAGATTTAAAAAAGCCAACGAACTATAGGTAAAAATACATGATGCAGTATCTTCCCACTGAAGACAACTGCAAAAAGTAGAAAGTCCACCTTGTTTTAAATTACAACATTACGAATGATGTTCCAGCCCTACAGAGCTTCTAATAAAACATACAACAGAAAGTTAATACCAACTGTCGTCTTGATTGGGTTTCATCAGCAAGCTTTTCTTTCAAATGTCACATGGCTCTACTGAAGTATCATATTCCTACATTTAATCCATTTTAAACACTACTGACTTAAACTGACATTTTGGGAAAAGAAAGGAGGCCAGTTGTCTTGTTGAGGTACAGACTGAAGCTTCCTACTAACATCTAGACTACATAAAGCTTCTGAATAGTATACAAGCGAACAATTCCCTGCAAGACTTGGAACAGGGAGCTCACATTTGCAAGAGAACCTGCCAAAGCCCTGTAAGAGATCTTGAACAGCACAGGGACAAGAATATAGCTCATTTGGCTAACATACTCAAGTATTTTTCTACTGTAAATTATGGTGTCCCTTACAATTGAAAAGCTGCTTGCCATACTGCTAAGATAAAGCCCATGAGTATCCATTTCCAGAAGGGCAGAACACACACTGTACACATTCTCAGTAACAAGGCCTTAGAACAAAGGGGTATTTCCAGAGGCTCTGCCACTTAAATGAAGAGCTGAAAGCAAGCGTGTGAGAAGTAGGTAGTTCAGCTGTGCATTTCCTGGCAAAGGACTAACTCAGGAAAGTGTATTGACCATGGAGTAAGAAATATGCCAAACACAGCAGTGCCCCATTAAGTCGAAGACCCATCACTTCTCATTCATCACAAGCAAGAAGGTCAGTGTCTGAACACCTCCCAGCAGTAAAGTCAGATGAGAAAGACTACTGGATTTCTTACTCTCAGGGTAGTATGCCGCTGAGGATGCCTGCTCTGATACTTTTCCGGCAAGCTGTCTTCTATAGGCTTAATCACACCTGTCAGCAAATGTGCAAGTTCTACAAGCTCTCCCATCCCTATATCCATCAGGAAAAGATCTTGCACAGTCATTGCCAGCACAAGGAGAGAGAATTCCAGCCAAGTAGGACACTGCTATTGCTAACGTACATAGCTGTTTCACCTGCCTTCCTGAACAATGATTTTGCATTCCAGTGCCACCAAAGTGCATTTCCTACATTAAATGGAAAGTGCCCAACACAGTGAAAAAAAAAAATCTCTTTTTGCATATTGGATAGGTCCTTTCATTTGAACAGAGTATCTGGTCAGTGGTGAATTAGCCATTTCTTCAATAAGAAACATCTCCATGGAGTATATAATGAAAAGCCAAGCACACGTGCATCTGAGGTATAATTCAGCAGATTATCAGCATAAAAGAAAGCGAGCAGCTTGGCTAAGAGGTTTAATTTTCTTAGCCTCAAGGCAGGATAGCCTCCACTCCCTTTTGGAACCAGGAAAAAGCTGTACTTACTTTACTGTCATCTACAGCTGATAGGAAAAGACATCTTTCTAAAGCAATATCCTAGGAAAAGGATCTCTGGAATGTAAAAGGCAGTTTAAATGAATGGAACTTGCAGTAATCTCAGCCTACGCTCAACACAATTTCTACCTGCACTAGCAGTTCTGCCTGGTCTAAGAAGCATGAAGAGAAGAAACTGCAGCAAAGGACCACTTCAGCTGCGGGTCACTGACATGACTTTGGAGATTTTTGTGAAAAGGAAAGAAAAAGCAACACAGTTAATGGAGCTGCTGCTGCTACTTCCTCCAAGGCTGAACTGCAACTTTTTAGTATGTATGTATATATGAAAGAGTCAGAGAAAACTTTGGCAAGCAGGACCAACAGGTGGCAAAACCATGAGGTGAGCAGTTATGAGCCTGAAATACCTGTACCAGTGCTTATGAGGGCAAGGTGAGGAATGACATTCCCACTGATTACAGGCTTGGAATGCAGTGGTGAGCAGAAGGATTTGGGACTGCAGGATATAGCAGAGCCTTAATAAATCAGCAAGAGCAGACAACTTCCAGAACAATAGATAGCTCCATAAAGATGGCAATTTTGAGGCTGGAGAAAAATCTCAGGTGTCCTTTAGGCACCTGTAAAGCAGACAAAAGTGGATGCGAAAAAGCATCAAGGTTTGTTTGTAACCATAAAGATCCATGAAGTCTCAAGATAAGCAGACTAGGTCCATGAAGTCTCAAGATAAGCAGACTAGGATGCCCTAACTGGACGCTTCAAAGACCGTGGTTCTCTGCGGAATAAAGCTCTCTAAAGCCAGCATTTTGTCCTGTAATGACCGTGTGCTTCTAGCCACTTGCCTTGTTCATGTACATTTCTCTAGTAGCCATTTCTGACTACTGTGAGATGGGACAGTAGACTATATAGACCTCTTGTCTGACCTAGTATCATTGTTCATATGAATAATGTTATGGGAAACTCCTCACTTCTGGAAGAGACTATGACTTGATTGACATGTTTAAGAAATGCATTTGGCATCTACACTAATGTTCTTTATTAGGCTAGGAGATGCAGGATTTGTAAATACTATGTAGAAGGGTAAGGCTCTCTTAGGTAGCACAGACATTTAACATTTCTATCTGCTAGCAAGCTTATTACTAGAAAGAACTAGTTTAAACACTGATAACCTCAAAAAAAGGATGGAGAAAAACATTGAAAGACACATATAATAACCAGCAGGAGTAAAATGAAGACAAATACTAGCTGCTAAAAATGAAAACAGCAGTAATAGCCTTGCTGATCAACGGTGACATATGGAAAATGCTAAAAAGAAAAGATTGAGGGTCAACTCAAGGAAAACTTGAAGGGATAAAAGCACCAAAGAAGAATTAAGCTAGGAAGCATATGGTTATATGTAATGAAAGAAATCTGTGCACAAGCAGATTAATAGACCTGTAAAAGTTCCTCCCTGGTAGACAGCAAGAGAAAAAAGTAGAGGTAATCAAAAACAACTGAAGACTGGAAGACAAATTTCCAGTCTTCTAGCCATTTGGTGAAGACTACAAGGCATAACATCTTTCCTACAACATACTAAGGCAAAAACTCTCCATGGTCAAGCACCTGAGCAGTCTGCACAACCACGCCATAGACGCACATACAGACAAGCATTCAAAGAACAATTTAATCAACATTATGAAGGCCAGCCAAACATTTAAGCCTAAATTTTCAAAATTCTGACTACAGACATACTGACAGAATAAAAAAAAAAAAGAGGGGAGACAGATGCACATGTGAACTCTCCTCAGTATTTTCCAGAGTTGAAAGGAGACAGTTTAAAGCAAGGAATGACCAAAGTTCTCTGGTTTTGGCATGCTTAAATTATCCTTATTGCATGTATTTTTTCACTGTAATTTTTTGAAGTTTGGCAATACAGGAAAAGGAGGAAAAACAATGTAATAATTTTTGGGTTTTTTAATCTCCTTTACTCTTGAATTTTTAGATAAACTGAAAAAAAAAATCACTTGAGTGGTTATTCTGTTCTTATTTGCCTTCCCCTGCTCTCCTATCTCCATGTTTTTACTGCAGAGCATGTAAAGTGAAAGTCGACAGGTAAAAACAATTTTACATTAAAAAACTTCTATATTTAATAAAATATTATTAAAAGAAGCACATACTGAAAGAAACAGAAATCCTGAGCATTCAGTTCTGGTACTATATATGTTAGTCTTGTATGCAAAAACCACCATGCTTCAGGTTAAAGAAGACAATAGTATTATTACTTATTTGTGTAATAATAATAAATACTAAGAGTCAATTTCAAGAGATAACTTCCTTTAGGAAGTCTTTTAGGTGGTACTTTCTGATTCATACTGCTATCAATTTTGAGTCATACTATGGCAGTGTTGATCCCGCCCTATGGGAATCTTTTCAATTTATTAGGAATTCTGAAGATCACATTAGAAAAACAATAAATTGTCAAAACATTAGCTGTATCTTATTAACATGAAAATACTTAAGGCAGCTTGTTTGGCATGTGTATCTTCTTTCAAATTTTATTTTTGCTTTGCAGTTCACATAAGGGAATGTTACATGAATAGGAATGTGAAAAAATTACTTACTCTTACAAAAATCCCTGAATCAATTATTCACATAAAAAAGCCATACCTGAAGCATGGTATATTTCCACTTAATTATATATTTTTCTGAATGTGTTCATGAGCCATCAAAAAAGCTGTCACTTCTTTAGCAGTAAACAGTTGCTTTTGTTAGATTACCCCCGCCCTAAAAAAATGCGGATTTCCATGTTCAAAGATTATAATTAGTAAGCATCGTCATTATACTGCTTTGAAGTCTACCATGCAAAAAAATCCCGGCAAGGGTTTTGGCCCTCGTTTTTTATCTTTCATAACCAATTTCACAATACTTTGACAGTTTAAGGAATAATAATAGAAGTCATTCAGGTGTAATATACACCTCTGTTGAGGTATATGGTTGGTGGCTAGTCCTTTTCTAGCCACGTGAAACAGTGCAGACCTACGGTAAAAATTTCATCTACACAGACCTAACTACAGAATTTCATAGTATATTTATGTATACAGTAAGTGATGTGTGGATTTCATCAGAAGCACCCATATATTAATTTTACCAACACAACTGCTATCTCCAGATGTTAATTTTATTTGTAAATGAGAGACCTTTATAAGCTAAATGTACATTCACAAAAACAGACAGACATGCACACACTTTTACATATAAATAATTACGTAAAACAGGGTCCCTTACTGTTTTCAGCTCTGCAAAAATACTGCAGTCATGAATTAAACATCACCTTCCAAAGTTCTCTGTTTTGTGCCTGCTCTGGCAAGGTTTCTGGGAACACTGATTAGAATCTGAATAGCTTTACATTACCTCCAACCTTAGGCCCACCAGCTGATCCTGGCTTTCTTGCACTGTTTGAAGGATTTCCTGGCTTTTTAGGTGCTGGAACCTTGAAGGCTGAAGCAGCTGATGATGGCCTATTTCCATCCACTGACTCTTCATCATCAAAGCTTTTGTCTAGAAAAGAATACATTAAATAAAAATAAAACTATTAGAATGGATGTATATTTATTTCCTAATCAACTATTCTGCTTCACATTTCATAGAAATTCACAAAATATATAAATAAACCCAAATATTTATCACTTTGTCCTCTGTCTCTGACCTAGGAATAAAACAACAATGAGAAATACACAGCATTTTCTACATGTTAAGTTCTTATAAAATATTAATATTTTGCCTTCATAATTAACCACTGTAAAACTGAACGTAAAAATGAATCCTACCCATTCATTCCCACAAAGGGAAAATATCTTTGCAGAGATTGAGTATTTTTGCCCATTTCTGAAAATTTTCCCCAAAGGAAAGCCCTTAATGTAATTTTTATCATTGCAGTCTACCAAAGACAAATGCTTCTCCCTTTTCTTCTTTTACTCATGCATGCATTTTCTGCTACACATCCTCCCACAATGTGTCTAACCAGCACTCCCTGTCTCTTTCCTTCCACCCAGATTTTTCAACTTACAATCACAGATCCTCTTGCAGATCAGCCGCCTCATTCCTCTGACAGCTCTTCAATCCCCTCACCCTAGGACGGACCCAGCACCTCACATGGCCACACACAGTAAATTCTCAATACTAATCAAAGATTCTATCAAAAGCTGCTCGCAAACACCCTAGATCCACCACTGAGATTTGTGCCGGCATCTTTCTCTCCCTTCCCCGCACTAGGTGCCGCACAACCAATGAGCTGCAAGGTGACATCATCTTCTGGGAGCCACCGCCAGAGGAAAAGGTGAAAATTCTCCATGCAAATAAATTCATTCCCACACACGTATTTGCCACTATTCCAATCCTTCATTAAAAAAATTAGACAGGCAGACAATACTCTGGGGTTTGCACTCCTCTTTCCTATAATTTCAGGTTTGTGTATTTTTAATCAAGAAAGAAATTCATCTCTAGTGACTAAATTAAATAGTGTCAATACAAAATATTTAGCCTTCAAAATAACCCCCAACATATTCCAACAGTACAATGTAACCGTTTCTCAATCCCCTTAGGGAAGAAGGATTTATCTATAAGCTTGAGCACGGAAAAATATATCAGCCTATGGTTCCTATAATAAATAAAATGGGCGAGGCTGAGACACAGCTGCACTACAGGAGTGACAGACCAATTTAGCATATTACCTGATCTAAAACCTGCCATTTCTAAAAAAAATAATATTAATTGCAAAGCTTGATCATCTCTGGAATGGTGACTATTTACCCTTTGCTTATTCAGAACTTGCTCCCAGTGAAATGTCAACTATACTTAATAATATAGCCTCCCAAAGGAAGGCAGCTTTCATTGAAAGGGTAAAGCAAGGTTTTGTCCAACACCATTTGCAGCACCATCAAACGTTAGAACACCCCACATTTAACATGTCTGGGATCACTGCTGCTATGGTTAGTACATTTTTCTAGCATTAGCGAAAAGCTGTGTGTTGCACTAACAAATCTTTACAATTAAAGAAGAAACAAACCACCACAAGAAATATCTGGATGTACGCTGACAATTTTCACTAACATTATTTCCTTCTCTCCTACAAACACTGATTTTTAAGAGAATTTTGCTAAGAATAATTGTGTTTGGATATGTAAACTCTCAGAATTGGGGAAAAGGCATCAGGCTCCCCCCCCACTATCTTGTGTGTTGCCATGGAAACAGCACTCCTGCTCAGCATACAGGCTGAGGCAGAATACATTTTGATTTCTGATGCTTATACTCTTAATATCTTAAATAGAACCAGACATCAAGATTTTTGAACAGGGAAAACCACTAATCCAAATGCCAGATTAAGTGCAATGAACTAAAGACTGTAATAGAAATGTAAATATGTAATAGAAATGGCTAATATCTAGGATACCTGCAGCTAATTACGGGTAATTTTAAAATAGCATTAAGAAATATCTTGTAGATTTTTAAACAGCATGAAGAGATCAGCATTGACACACGAATATGCTATCATAAAAATTGATTAAAAGTGAAAACATGCTTTTCAAATAAAAATGTTTTTGTTGCTGCATTTTTTTTGGTTTGATAACGAGACAGGCTAGACTTTCACGTTACTATCCAAAGCACTACAATGCAGCATTGATATGCAAATATTGCACAAGAAGCCTTTGAAAAAATACAGTTATTTGCAGTACAATTTTAAAAACAGTAAGTGAGCATTTTGCTCATTTATGCAAAAACTCCTAATCAAGAAAAACCTAAACAACCCCAAACAACAGTTTACTTCGGGAACCAAAGGCTCAGATAAATTAATTTTATTCTTATCAAGCTATTCATTATGGAGTATTGAAGATGGAGAATTGTAGAAGTTAGTGCTCAACCCCAAAATAGAATTTCAGAAAAATGCAAAGGCAAACATTCCCAGCTACTGGCACGATGTGCAAATTATAGGACGAAATATTAAACAACGGTCTTGGTAATACTGCCAAATTACTTTGCCTAGTTAAAGAATACTTTTTTCCCATGCATTTAAAACATTGTTAACAGTGGATTAAAAACCCACACTATTAAATATTTTCATACAGTTTCTCAGTCCACATAAAACCTAGCTTTTAAAATAAATTCTTTTTATTTTAAAATGCATAAGTATTTCTGAGAAACATAGAACTGATCTTAACCACTGATACATGGGCATTCTTAACTGGACTTTCCATGATTTATGCTAAAATAAGTTAAAAATTAAAGTACAGTCACTAAAAGTGTTTCAAAATTATAGCACAGTACCATAATTGTGTAAAATTAACAGGTGAAAAGGATCTTCTTTAATTCTTTTAAGGCTAAAGTGATAATGCAGCTGAGTTTCTTTTGTTGTGGGGGTTTTTGTTTGTTTGTTTTTAAATAAACAGGAGCAGAAAAATTTTGTACTGTCTTTTACAGAAACCGGAGGTTTTCTCCACCCTTTTGGGCCTTTACACTTTTATTTCCCTAGGCTCTATTAACAACATAATCCCAATTGATCTTTAGGGACATGCCATTTTCAGAAAGATGCTTAGCAGTATTTGTGAACATCTGAAACCTGAAGTCTGTATTTATAGCAGTTAATGAAACAAAACCATTATATTTGCTTCCAGTATAATCTGTTTTCCATGTGCTCTCACTCATGCGCAACAATACACTTGTTTGTATCTCTTATAAAACCATTTCCATATACTCCAGCATACAGAATCCCAGCTTGAGGTATAACCGTTACTCCGCAGGGTATAATCAAGGTGCAGTTCTGCTCAGGCCAGCTGAGCCAAACTTGTTTACTACGTGCCTTTGGTTAGCCAACGGACCAGGGCTGGAGCTCCTGACTGCCAACATGCAGAGCATGATGAAGGTTGTACTGTCAGTATCAAACTGTGACTTTAATGTTAGTTTCATGCAGTCTGCAAACAAAATTAATTTCTACAACAGAAGTCATAAAAGCCGAAATATAATTGATATTTCAAAACAAATCTATCTGAAGGATGCAAACACTTTTCCATTCTAGAATGGCTAGGTAATTTTCATTCTAGGTAATTTTAAAGGCCAAACACTTTCAACGTATCGAATTTTATGTATGCAAATACACCTGACAGCTGGGAAAGCACTATCCAAACAGCATTTTACAAAAAAGTTCTAAGTTACTAAAAAACAGGAATAAAAGGCTGTATGAATTGCTAGCAATGTACAGAACATCTTAAATGAAAAACACAGTTAATGAAAGACACTGAACCTCAGTTAAATCTCACAAGACTGTTCTTGTACCCGATATCTTAATTTTAAATCACAATGGGTGAGAAGAGTTTTGGAGGTAAGCACACCCCACAGAGAAGAGTGGAATCTAGTACTGCCAAAACCTCCTGAAGAAACTTGATGAGCAGTAAATGTTCTCACTCTCCCAGTTCTCTCCCAGATGAACAACTTCAAAGCAGAAAAAAAAAAAAGAAAATTCAAGAAAAGGTTGTTCTTATATTCAGAAAGCTAGAAACACAAGATTCAACTTCCAAGCCTTAGAAGTTTTCTCTTCCAATAGAGGAAAGAGATTTGTACTGCAGAGGAGTGTTCTGCAGGTACTATGCAGCAAGTGAACTGGTATCAATGAACTGCTGTGCATATCTACAAAACATATCAGAGGAGTCAAAGGAATGTTTCTAGTAAAAAACCCACCAAACCAACCTGCATGACACATCAGACCCTAGAGATTACCACACTTTCAAAACTTGGGGTTTACCGAAGTTATTCTAAGATTAAATCCAGACACACCTGTTCAATTAGAAACACAGACCAAAACTCTGAACCATTGCAAAGGTTTAAATACTAAAATTCTTAAGAAACAAACTATGCAATTTGAACTAAAAATAACTAAAAGATACGCAGCATTACTCTTGGGGCCCAGATTAATGTAGTATCTGTTTTTTAAAGTATTCAGAGATATCAAAGGATAAACATTTACAATCAAACTTGATATTCAAAGAACATTCTAGTACTCCCAATGCTAAAAACTTCTAAACAACCTATTTACTGTGATTTGGCTATAGGGCAATAAAGGTAACTACAGATGTATCCAGAGACAAAGGAGAATCTAAAACTCTTCATATCCAGCAAGAAAAATACTTTATTTTCAAAGAAAGTTAAATTAAAATATATTTATTGTTACTGCAACTCAAGCCTTTACCTTTAGCTGGTCTTAAGATTCATAAAATTAATGTGACATTTAATAGCTGACCTTTTGTAAGTCACAGTCAGTAACAGAAGAAAGAAATATAGTATCATCTACACTGCTGTAGAAAGAGAAGATCTATATTCTACTCATGCTACTCAGAAGCAGCCAATCAGAAGTTAACTGATCTTGAAGCAGATCCCCAAGTAACACCACAGGGGGGGAAAAACCTGGATCCCCTGCAGTAATGCTGAACTAAAGCTGGCCTTAAAGGCAAATCTCGATACTGCATCAGTATCAACAACTTACATATCTAATACTACTAGGGTTGTAAATACCAACTTGCAGTATTTTACAGTAGATTGACAATAGTCAAACCAGAGAACATAGTATCTTTAATAAAACTGCTTTTAAACTTTGACTTTTGTTAAAAACGTGCCCTTCCTATATCCATTTTCCTTTCAAGTAATGCTAGCAGATACTAAATGTTTTTGAACTACTGCTAACAGCTCCTCTTCCACACCACAAACTGTTTATAATGACATGATTGCAAAATCGTGCCCAAGCAAAACAATGACGAGTAGATGAACTCCTCACATTTCCCAAGTCACTCCCACATCCTGCGCCTACCAAGACACCGACTGCCAGTCTCTCTTCAGTGATTTACAAACATAGACTGCATCAATTACTTGGAACATCTGGGACTGGATTGTTAGCTCAATTCCAGATGAACTGATGCAGCCTACAACAATTTCTGTCAAGCATGAAAATGAAGCTGCGAGCACTACAGATGCATCAGGTTAGTTGATCCTTCTAATCCATACTTCAAGCCAATGCCCCACATCATTTAGTGAGCACTTTATCCCTTACACATCAGAC